GAGAGGAGAGGAGAGGAGAGGAGAGGAGAGGAGAGGAGAGAGAGAGGAGAGAGAGAGAGGAGTAGGAGAGAGAGAAATTAAGAGCGGATCATCTGGATCGCCCTCGGTCGATGCCCTCCGCTGTAAGCTCGTTGCCACGGGAAGTCGCCCCACCGGTCCCATCAGCTGGCACCTCGAAATTACTGCCCTCGCAGAAGCTGTTGCATCATCAGCGGCGCCCTGCTGTCCATTCACAGCACCGGCGTTCGCTCACGACACTCGGAGTTGGAGCGCGAAGGAAGACTGGAGAAGCCAGAAAGGTATGATAGGAGTCAGATGTTTGCGAGAAGGCAGGTCGTTGCTCGCGAGAAAAACTTTGTGAACATTTATTTGTCTGACTCATTTTTAATAAGCAACTAACAGCTCGACGAACTGAGTACTTATAAATAGGTCACTTAAGACACTACTGTGGACTCACAGTTTGATAATAATTACGATTGTGGAGTAATTTGTTATCGCGCTGGCCATGCAATTGCATTAGTTAGCCTTTGTCGAAAAATTTTAAAAATCGCAATCACTGAAAATCATACCAGCAATCCAATATTATCCACGGAGAATGAACTTTCTTCGTTAGGCAGGTCGCGAGCAAGCGCCGGTACTGTGAATGGACAGCAGGGCGCCGCTGATGATGCAACAGCTTTTGCGAGGGCAGTGATTTCGAGGTGCCAGCTGACGGGACCGGTGGGGCGACTTCCCGTGGCAACGAGCTTACAGCGGAGGGCTTGGACCGAGGGCGATCCAGATGACCCGCTCTTAATTTCTCTCTCTCTCCTACTCCTCTTTCTATCTCTCTCTCCCACCCTCTCTCTCTCACCCTCTCTCTCTCACCCCCTCTCTCTAATCTCTCTCACCCTCTCGCTATTGTGTTGAAAGCTGCGTGGACGCTTTAGGTACCTGGCGCTGGTGTGATGAAGGAAAAGAGGGTATGTGACAAAGATTTAAATTACTATGAAAAGAAGAAAGAAAATAAAGACGAATTACATTGTTAAGTATATTGTATTCTTGGCTATCCGGGATGAGCCGCGTCTTAGTTGATTGGACCGCGTCTCAGTTGATTAGTCCAATCAACTGAGACGCGGCTCATTCGGGTAGCCAAAAGTACATTGACTCCGGCCGCGGAAGCCTACGATCCCATTGTTAAGTACAGTTAATTTGCATTTTTGAACTTAGCGCATTTGCAATTTTTCGGCCTGAGTGTAATCCAAATTAATTATTTGAAGTAAATGACCTGTTTGTTAAGCTATTTTAATCTTTTAATTCAATTACCATTACAAAATCCAGTACAATGATCTAAAAGCATGTGCGGTCGTAATCGGGAATCAACCCGCAGACCCGATGAGTAACTTAATGAAATACCAACAAATATAGCAGGACGAGTTTCCATCACAGGCCCCAACGACTTCATAGCGAAGCATAAAGTGTGAGTAAAAAATGTTCGCTCAAAAACTATTTCAGAATAAAATGTCTTGGAAATATTGCGTAGGAAAGATTCAGAATATTTATGTTAAATATAAACGTAAGCTTCCGTGGCTCGAGTTCTTGACTTCAAAATTTATGTTACTTGCAAAAACGAGAGACTTGTCATTAAATTGGACACGCGTAGAGATGCGACAATTCGCCTTAAAAGTTCTATTTTACGAATACGTTATTCAGTGCCACCTAGGAACGAGTATATTTCTAGAGGGTATTGCGACTGTCCGCTCACTCGCGAGATCGTGTTGTGGTTCACCAGACTCTCGCGGAAGTGAGCCGATTCGTTCACGTTCGTTACGATAACAGAGAAGAGCCACACAATTTTGCTGCATCATAGGTTCTCTTATCGCGATTCGATGGGCTCGTGACCTTGAAAGAAGATTACGCAATGGGTTGTGAGGGGGCGAGAAAAGCAGCTCGTAATGCACACTCATTGATCTGTAGCTTCTCCACAAGTGCCGCCATGGCTGAGGAGTACGTGACAGTGTCTGTGCGTAGCGGAGCCCTTAAGGGCCGCCGTCAGCGGACGGAGGATGGTCAGTCCTTCAACAGTTTCGAGGGCGTGCCGTACGCCAAACCGCCAATCGGACCTCTACGATTCAAGGTGCGTTACATATCTTTTTTTTCATGCTGATCTGTTTACAATGTATAAAGATCAGTACTTTTTCTGTATTTTGTACTCTCCAGCTCATTTCCTTTTTTTTATTTTCTTGTTTCTTATTTTCCTTAACTTAATTCATTTCTAGGTAATAGGTATAATAGGCTGGATTTCAAGCAGTTTGATAAATAGAGACTGTTACCCGATTGCTAAAATACTAAAAGTTCATAATTTGAAATATAATTTTAGTTTCTATTATTATTATTATTATTATTATTATTATTATTATTATTATTATTATTATTATTATTATTATCCGATTTGTCTCATTTTGCAGCAACTGCTGGGGGACTATCAGCTATCCCCACCTTCAATAATGCGATCGGATTAGGCTCGGCTGTTATTAAGTTTTACCACACAGGCACTGCCAGGGTGAAATAAAACCTGCTGTTACTGTTAATTCCCTGTCACACAATATTGCATGTTGCTAAAATCGTCGCTTTCTGCATGGGTATGCACAGAGAAGTGGGTACCTCTAACTTCTCCAAAGATTCCATTAATGATTTGGGTATTACTCTGGTAGTCGATATCACTATTGGTATAACTCAGACAAAATGCAATGACCATAGTTGTTTACGTTCAATGAGCAGATCTGTATACTACTTCACCTGTTCATGGTAGGCAGCTTGGATATTGCAGTGTGTGGTATTGACATGTCGATCAGATATGTAGTCTTCTTCAATTTATCTGAAAATATAATATCTGGTATATGTGTAAAATGCCTTTACCGGTAATGATTGATGTGTCCCAGTATAATTTTCCCCGACCATTGACCAATACTTTCTCTGAGAAATATTTATAGTAAGAAACTGTACCATGTATGAAAAATTATTTGTGGGCAATTTTTTGATGCAGTATTTTGGCAACAATGTCATGTAGTCTAGTTTTATACTCTATTGTAGGTAATGATTGACATCCTGACACAATATACTGTATATTGTCCTTACCAAAGTAGCAACGCCTGCAAGTATTATTCACCGTGCCATCTTTGATAATATTGTAATTTCTTGGGCTGATTACCCCTGATATTGATTAGAGTACACAAAGCCCTCTGCCTCGGGAAACAATCCTCCAAAGTCAGCCAAACGTTCGACGCAGTGTTATCGACAAATGGCTGATTTAGCGCGTGGACATGCTTACAATGAAGGGTTTTCTGCTACCAAGAGAGAGACTTATCATCAGATGTACTTGAAATTTTATTTATTTATTCACGTCAACTTATTCCCATTAGTTAACAACTGTGCGTGGCATGCTATGGGGAGAATATTAATTTGACGTTACATTTATGTACAGAAGTCAAACAAGGTGCTATCTCAGTATTTGCTCTAGGATCAGGGAAACTGGACGAAAACCTGATTGACATGGAAGTCATTGACCTAGAAGCTGAAGTATAATACTTGTTATAGGTTCTTTAATATTATACAATTCAAATGGTAAATAATACACTAAATGTAAAAATTTAAAATTAGGATGCTCAGTAAAATTAGGATTGTATAGAAACAGTTGAGCAGCAGAAAATGTTTTACTTGGGACTTAAAATTTTGTATCGTATTAAATCGTTTAATGTCATCTGGCAAGGTGTTGTAAAATAATGCATATGTACTGTCTGTGAACTTTCTGTAGTGACTATTGATTGTTGTTGAACCTTTTGCAGTGGCACCTAATGAATATCATTACTATGTTGAGTGTAATAGTTATAGATGTCGGCGTTCGCTGAAAATATATTCCTGCCCTTAAGTAAGTCATTTTTGACAAACACCACTGACTCATATATCAAGAGACAAGGTAATGGTAAAATACCGAGATTAATACAGAGTGGCTTACAATAATCACGTGGGTGGGATTTGCTTATTATTAGTTCAATTCCTTTTTTATAATATTTTGTAATCTAAAAGTCTGGGAGCTATAACACCCATTTCCCGAGAATATTATGCCATATCTCAAGTGATAATGGGCATTTACGAAGTACACACAACAAGCAATATGGAGGCTGACTGAATTTGAAAGTATTATGAAAGCGAAGAAGAGTTAGCTTAATTTAGTATTCAATTCATTTAAATGGACGTTCAATTTAAGTTTGGAATTAAAAGACCTAAAAATGTTGTTACATCAGTCAATGGTTCACCGTTCATTTTCAGTGGAGTACAGAGCTGTTTATTTAAAATGGAAAACTGCATTGAACCGTTTTCTTGTCATTTACTATTAATTTGTTGTAACGGACCAATTTTTTTCATAATTTCAAATCATTCATTTTCATTTGCCACATTTAAAGGAGATAATCCCATAATTGCCATAATTGTAATTCAGGTTCCTTTTGTTTTTCTCTGAAGTATGATTTTAGCGTATTTTTTTGCCTACTTAGTAAATTGCTTAAATCGATCATGCCACGTGCATCTTGTCGTCAGGATCGTCAGGATCTTATTTGGTTTTGCTTAAATACGTTTAGTTTCTGTTCTAGTCTAATGTATCATCCAAAACGTGTAGAATAACACTGGTACTGCCTAGGTATTTATTGCCCTCATAATATTTCTGCTATAGAGTTCTGATGGTGCTAAGCATTGTTCTCTGTCCATATACATATTTACGACCTCTCTGTTTATTGAGGTCTCCTCAATTCTATTTGACTTATTCCTAAGTACTTGTATACTTCCCCTACCTCCATACTTTTTTTTTGAATTTTCCAATTCATACCCGTCAATTTTCTTTTTACCACGGCATATGCTTTAAGTTCTACATTTTCTAGTCCAAAATCAATGCATGAATCTTTGCTTAACATTTTTATCACTGACAGGCTTTGCCTAAGAGCACGTGCTGAACTACAGAATAATTTAAGATCATCTATGTGCATTAAGTGTGACAACCTTTAGACCTTGCCTTGGTATCTTGCAATTACATAGCCATTTTCTTTGTTCTTCATTCTCGATAATGGGTTGGAGCCAGACAGAACCAAAAAGGGCCTCCCTTGGAGATTCCTTTCTTCACCTGTATTGTGTTTAATTTAACATTTCTTTCTGATGCCTGGGCGAGTAGGTTATTTCTCATTTGACCTTTAGATGTTCCAATATATTAATATATTATTGAATTATAATATATATTTGAACTGATTTCATGTTTTTTTTAAATATCTAGTAACCAACTATGCTGGACAGAACAGAAGGCCTTTTTTAATCAATATACGCTGTGTATACATTTTGATTTGCATTATAGGCTTGTTTCATAACCACTGAATCAACAATTGTTCTTTACATCCCTGAGAGTTTTCCGGCAACCTTTCTGCTCTTCTGACAGAATCTTATTTGCATCACAATGGTCGTTTATTGCAATTATATTAATACTGTCGTCACTATTATTATTATTATTATTATTATTATTATTATTGTTGTTATTATTATTATTATTTATTGCGAATTGGCCATCTACGAGGCCACGCGAACGTGCAACCCACCGGGGCTCTATTATATTTATCGAGAGTATACGTGACTTTTGTAGGAGAATCAGCATTTTCATGCTGAATCGGTTTTTAAGCCCAGGGTTGTTAGCCGTTGGGGGTGAGGTAAAATTATAATGATGATGAAAGGTGAAATGAACAGTTACAAACATAGAGAGTTTCCCAACCATGCTCGAGGAGGGACTCGAATCCATCGGTCCAATATCGCCACAAGACTACTGCCTTCGTGATCTCGGCTACCGGATCGGCTACGTTATTATATTAATATTATTACTGTTAATAATAGTATAATCATTACTGAAGATATGGTCACCAATAATAAAGGAAACAATCTGTACCAGAGTGTTGCGCCGCGAGTTTCATCCACCCCTCGATCCGCCTTTCCTTTGCTTTTTTTGCAATTTCTTCCGTTGTGCGTTGGTGAAGAGATAAATGCGACTCCATTTACTAGAGTACAGAGGAAAAGAAAAAGAAATATTATCAAATATCTATAACAGTTGTTTTAAATTTGTGCAGGCTCCAGAGCCCCTTGAACCTTGGACAGGCGTACGGGATGCCACAAAAGCCGGAAAGATGTGCATCCACTATGATGGCCAATTGAAAGAGATCGTGGGTGATGAGGACTGCCTGTTCCTGAACGTGCACACACCTCAGCTACCCTCAGAGAGCAGAACGACATCTTTGCCTGTGATGGTGTATATCCATGGAGGCGGATTCGCCTTCGGTTGTGGTCATACATATGAACCGGCACCATTCATGGACAAAGGCGTCGTGGTTGTCACCATCAATTTTCGGTTGGGTCCTCTGGGTACGTATTTGAAAAAGAAGACATTTCAAATGCAACTTCTATTTTTGTTTCTTCAGAATAAGAGAATAACGATATGAGGGAGTTCCATCTGAATATTTGAACTTCTCTAAAATGTTTGTAATAAATTCGTTTGAAACAATATTCATAAAATTGTTGTAAAATTAAACTACAGATCGAAATTACTTATAAACTTTTAGATTTTTTTCTTATATGGGAAGTTTCCATTTTCAGGTTTTCTAAGTCTCGGGACCCTGGACGTGCCTGGCAACGCAGGACTCAAAGACCAGACAATGGCACTCCGTTGGATCAAGGAGAATATTGCGGTCTTCGAAGGTGACCCCAACAACGTCACCATCTTTGGAGAGAGTGCTGGAGGTGCCGCAGTACATTTTCTATTGCTTTCCCCATTAGCTAAAGGTACGCGAACATAAAGCCTCCTGTTATGTGACATTGAACTGGAGTTGGCATTTCTATATAACATAAGTGGCTCACAGGATCATTGGTTGTTCTTTTGCCACGCCACAGATTTTAGTAAATTCTGATGTAATTTATTTTTTCATGTTTAGCTAATCATAAGGGGTATTTCATCAATATAAATGCAATTTCGTATAAAATTATGTTCCTTTCGAGATTAAAGAAATTTTGTTCTTCAACACGCATCTTAACAACTTTATCAATTCGAACCGGACTACGCCAGTCACAGACTTGTCTTACTACGAGTCTTTGTGAGTATTTCCAGAAACAACATAAACTGGCTGGCTCGGTGACTCAGTCAAGTCGTGGAGTCAAGTCGGCGGCCTTTCACCAAGGAGGTCCGGTTTCGATTCCCGTCGATTCCCAGACAATCTCATGTAAAATTCGTTCCGACAAAACGATTTTGGTTGCTTCACAACTGCAAGTCCAACCACTGTGAAGTGTCCTAACCCCTACCCCTATCCTAATTCCTTCCCAATTCTGCCCGCTGGGTAGTGACACAGGAGCGCATAAGAGAGGCGCATACGCGGAGATGCTACATGGCGGTCCTCTTCACGACTGACTGCGACTAGACTGTAGAACAAACCAACAAATTAACGGAGAATTACTCCAAATAATAATAAAAATGTTAACGGAGGATTTCTCCTAACAAGCGCTCAATGCTCTCCTGTGGGTTTGGAGACGCGTTGCGTCAGTGTCAGACACAGTTTAAATAAAATTAATACCACTTACAATGCGCACGACGGAAATAACAGAAAGGAAAAAAGAAAATGTCAAAAATAATATTAAAAAATGAGATATCGATATTGACTAAGTTTCCTTGGTCTCTCTTAAATGTTTTTGCCATGAAACTGCATTTTTATATTTAATAAGCATATAGTTCATGTAATACAACTGTTGGGAAATTACTTTCATTTGGAAATGTATTGCGATTTTTTTAACGTTCCCACGTTACAATAAAACAATAGGCAAATATGCTGATTGATTATTCACAGGATACGTTTGCGTTCGTTGTTAAGATTTACGCAACTCAAATTTCGTAAACTGCGACGGTCTAGAATGACTAATCGGTGACGTATCTTTCGGTGGGACGACGTCATTGCCGAGTTAATTATTCTGGAGGATTCCTTCTCTCATCAGACATTTACGAGGTCTCCTTCAATCATTTTCATGCGAATGCCGGAGTAGTTCCTTAAAATTTGGTATCGGACCGCGCGATCAGTTCTTCACCATCCTGTTCTCTCGCCAACACTTAACTCCAAACGGCGGACTCCTATTCCTTCGTGACCGCGTCCCAAGGTATACCACGAAACTGTTCGTACGAGCGCTCGCGATCAAGAGAACGACTACGAAGTGGAAGTGTGAAGGGAAAGTGGAGCTTTCGATGGCTCTCAATATGCAACACGTTATATTTCGAAATATTTGTTTGCCTTGGAATGGAATATTACGTCAAGGGAGAGAAGAGAAAAGTGAGAGATGAAGTCATGGCAACAAATAAATAGGTGAATGATTACGTGTTCCGAGAAGAAGGGAAGTTTTGTAATGAGATTCGTTAGAGGAAATATGGTGCGGGTGACTACATGACGACAAGAGTGAATACTTTCGGACGTACTCTTTGACATGCCGCGCTCGTGTACACTGGCAGGATTATTATTATTTTATTATTGAAAAAATCATAAATTCACGATATCTAATACAATATGTACGATAAAAACTGTTTGATATTAACTGGATGTGTCATCTTAGTCAATGTTGTACAGGTCTACAAAATTGCATCACAGTTCCCAATTACGAAAACTGAAAAGATAAAGATGATTTTATTTGGAAAATAATAAAGGACACTTTTTGGAAGAGTCCGGTTCCTACAAAAAACTTGAATACTTCAATATATTTTTTACGTCGCTTTTTAACAACTTGGTCATTTAGAGACTACTTCTTTAACTGTAGAGGAACTGTAGGTAGAACACGTAAGGACATGCCCGAGTAAGAACATCCATGCCCGAGGCAGGATTCGGACCCGCGATCCTTCGAGCCGAGAGAGATTGAGCGCTGCAGCCTAAGCTATCTCAGGCGATCCAGGCCGGCATTTTAATACTGTATTCCATGCAAATTATCATAATATATTTTATACTCATGGAAAGGCAATTAAGAAGAAGCCCAATAATTGAATAAATTAGTGAAATGAAAAATACATTTTATGCAGAAATATATGAAAATTTCAAAAATTTATTCCTATATGTTACCTATACCTTGTATGTAGCCTTTTAATGTATTAAAATTTCAAAAATACAATACGATAAAAATGATATGCACCACGCGCCTTATCGTATTATTTGTATAAACATTACGCAAAATAATGAAACGCCCAGCTATTGGCTAAGCACTTGCGCCTTTTGAACAGGACTGATTTAGAACGAATTGTAAGCAGCCCTGCAAGTATGTGGGTCTCATGTTCAAACCCATGCGCGGATGAGGAGCCAGAGAAAGAAGATAAACTAAAACGTCATGCACTGTTCCAGGTCTCTTTCATCGTGTGATCGCACAAAGCGGCAGCGCCTTCTGCCCTTGGGCCGTTATCCACGACCCGATCGCCCGCGCCAAAAGCCTGGCGCTGGCGGCGGGCTGCGAGCCGAAGACCGCGGAGGACCCCGTCGCCCTGGCGAAATGGCTGCGCGAGGCACCCGCCTTGTCCCTCGTCACCCACATAGGCGCCTGCTTCACGGAGGAGGAGATCGCCAAGTCCATGATCCTGCCCTTCGTGCCCTGCGTGGAGCCAGACCATCCCGGAGCCTTCATGCCCAAGACTCCTGCAGCTCTGATGGCAAGCGGCAACGTCCCCAAAGTGCCGGTTATCATCGGAATTACATCTCACGAGGGAATTGTGTTCCTTCCGGGTAAATTAGGTTGTTGGATTCAATGCCATTTTACCAAGAGGTTTGATGACGCTGGTCTTGCGGGAATCTATTTCATTGGTGCGGATCATACTTTTCCACATTAATTTTCACATTTTAAATAAAATAATATTCACGTTCTTATTACGAACAATCCTTGCATCCGTAACTTCAGAAAAGTTCGAAATACTTACTATAATACTTATTTTGTTTATTGCTCTAGGTACTTATGAAATTAAAATTTAAACATGGGAATGGATAATTCGGAAATCTCACATTACATTATTATGCAAATACCATTAATCTACCGGTCTCCAGAGCCAACAATCCTAGGTGTACAAACGGACTTAGCATGAAAATACTGACCCCCGCCCCTATAAATAGCGTCACGTGCACCAACCCTCAATATATAGATATGACTGAGCGCTGGAGAGTTGCATTTTTGCGTAGTCCGGAGGTGGCCAAAAAAGAGGCATCTCTCTGTTCTCGTGACGGAACAAAGGCCAACCAGCGTCGTCCCGGCCTTGCGAACATGGATTAAGAGTTACGTGTAGTTAGCTCATAGCTATCCCTACGCTGTAATCTGGTCTTTTCAACCCGAGAAGTGAATTTTCTCATCGTCACACAGCAACATATACTGGGACATTGCGAGGAAAGCGCACACTCTAAACTGCCTCAACTTGAAATCGAACTTGGGATCGCGTCATGCAAAGCGAGCAAGCTGACCCGTGGAGATTAAATAATAGGTACACTAGGACGAATTCAGCCGATGTATTGAAGAGAATTCTAGCGGCCAGTGGTATGATAAATAGTTTTCGGTGTGATAAATAGTTTTCAGTGACTTGTTTTTCGATCAATAACAGGCGAATGGCGGAGCAGTACCTTTACAAACGGGCCACGGATCGCGTCTGATCTTCCTCTCCCTTTACGTTTACACACAGAATTTTAATTTGCTGTAGAAAAATGCTATGGACTTACTCATTTCAATTGATTTCGTCACTATTGAAAAATAAATATATTGTATCAATTTTCTGGCGACTGAAAAATCAACTGGCAAAATTTATTATTGAACGAAAATTTTATTGGCTAACATCCCTGGACTTAAGTGAGTTGGACAAATAATTTTGGACAAAAGTTTGAACGATCATTCATGAAAGGCTTATACTTATATACAATATACTACTACCCACTCTCACACACTACACTCACACTCGGGAGCTTACAAATTGACCTGACAGGGGTGGTTCCTTGGTGGGGAGATACTTGGCGGGGGGAAACCTCGCAAGCCGACGTGTAGCACCGAATAGCACATTCCAGCGTGGGAGGAACACTGCTGCCTGCCGGCACACAGGCACTAGAGATGTCTGAATCATGTGGAACACTTGCGAATTGCAAGGCGAATGATCATATTTTGGCCTTTTTTGTCAGCAGTCGACTACTTTATAACAGTGATACACACACTTTTTTGTAATAGACGTTCGGAAATATTTGTGTTAATGGTTCTTTCTCGTATTTACTTCAAACTATAGTCAAGGTTTAATAATAATATTTACATGTTTTCTTTCTGAAACTTGAAATGTTTTATTTAAAGTTCTAGCCACGATTTAAGATATGTGGTCCAGAGACGATTAAAAAAAGCATTGCATTCTCACTGTTTCAAAAGCCACCAACAAACATTCACTCCAAACTTGTTATCACCTTCGATTTAACCACAACCGGTCGCAAAACTGAACGGGCAGTGGCATCGGTTTGCGTGTCTGTTCCCAGTCAAGAAAAAGAAGAGCAGTGAACCTTGCAATCTGAGGCGTGCTGACCTCGGGATATTTTCTCACAGCGTCTGCCACATTTCCAAGCGTAGGCGTTCCGAGCGATCTCAACCGACGCCCGTCGAGTCCTTGGTTTGCAGAACCATCTTTAGTTTGCCAAGATGGCGTCGCGGCGGATACCGTTCTGCATACACTGCTTCTGCAGCGCGAGCTCTTCCTCGATCATCGCGCAAACACAAGAACGTTCATCTCTCAGTAGAAAAACACGAGGATTTGCCCGGGCTTTCTTCGCATCCAATAATTGTGGAAAAGGAAAAAGATAAATTATATATAACACACGGTGTTTCATTTTATAATTTTTAATATAATTGGTTCAAATTTTAATAAAAGACTATAATTTTCTTTCATTTTATTTTACAGTACAACCCTACTAGATTAAAAATTGTATCTTACGCCCTGCTGCAGGCCTCTTACGGAATATATTAGGAACCAATCTGCTCGTGTTAGCGACAGGTGAAAAATAATGATCGTAGTGCATCTACCAACATATCATTTAAATTATTTATTTTCCGCACTTGTATCATATTAATCTTAACCAAATTAACCTTAATCAAAACCTTTGCATGGACACTGTGACAATCTTGAAGAGGCTTCTGTAAAAATTTTCGATCTACTAATACACTACGTTTTGTGGTAATGTTGTCATTACATGTCGTTGAATTCACATTTATTATTTTATAGATAATCCTCTTTTGTGAAGAAACACTCCCTAACCATTGACGCCACGTACAAAACTGAAGCCAAATTCTTGTCTCATAGCGATCGCAGTTCCCTTCATTAGTCGATTATATTGGGAAAACGATACAATAAATTATTTGAGTTGCTTGGAATTCTTTACGGACGCAAAGAAAGCAACTTTCATTCTGGGAAAGTTAAGTGATATTTCTTTCTTTCGGAGTCTTATATCTGTATAATTCAAGGACCTGTTTTCAGTGATCGTGATGGATCTACTGATACTGATAATAAAGCAATGTTTAAACAATTTGCATGATAACATGATAAAAGGAGATCGCTTCTGAAAACAAAATTTTAAAATCTAAAAACATTGTGCGTCATTAGTTGCTTTTCGCGTGCGTACGGTGAGGAACAGAGTGGGGTGGCCTAGACGTGTTCGAGACTGTGAGCCTGTGATATAAAAATCACTTAAAGCAATTCAAATGTTTGTACATTTTCCTGTATGCGTTTCCAACACGTCCCAGGCAATGTAAGCGTGAACATGAATGCAGAAGTATTGAAATGCGGCGCAAACGGATTAACAACTCATTGCTTTTTATTGCATTCTAACCAGTCACAACGTATGTTTCTCTCTCCACAGCACTTACATCAAAGGAGATTCGCGCAAGGTTTAAAGGTATAAATTTGAGTTAATCTTTCATTCCGTAGAACCATTGAAGAAGTATTTGCTGCGATTGCGACGTCCACACCTTTTGTGGTCAGGACAGTAATCTGTATGTCGTAACCATCGTTTCTACCCGCGAACACTTGTTGCTCTTACTTCTCGCAGGTGAGTTACGAACCTTCCCTATAGGCCGCCGCAGCGCGTCAAGGAAAAAGGGGCCACTTGTCTGCTCGTGGCACCGCGCTGATTATTCTTTCAGCGGCGACACTTCACTGACCTCCCGCCGTGAGTTTCAAAAGTTTCAATGCCAATGGACCACGTTCTTTTCCTGCACTGGCGGGAATACACTAACGAAAATGCTTTCGTGAGATTACCCGCATTTCGCAAAAACAGGTTATCACAAATGTCTTATATCGTGGCGCAAACGCCATTCACGGATCCGAAGGCAATTTTAAATCGCCCAATGTGTATTACCTTTAATAAAGTAGTGTCGCATAAGCAGTTATGTAAGTTTTCGCATAGTGTATATTGAAGAAACTGTAATGTTGAATTATAATTCGGTATTTTATTCCGTATTAAATCATAGAAATAAAAGACTTCAACCTTTTAGGCGCCGTACTGAAGTTCGACTGCTTCAGAGTTCCGCCTGGCGGTAAGAAGTCTACTCAGGAGGAGTTGGAGATGGCCGAAGCAAAGGCAATGGCGCAGTTATCCTCGCGCCCAGAGCTTCTCCTCCCGGAGAATTTGCCAGGTCGGAGTGATCCCAAGAAAGAAGCGCAACTGGTGCAGCGTCTGAAGGACTTTTTCTTTGACGGGAAGCAGCCCTCCGAGGAGAAACTGTCGAGTTTGATAGACGTAGGTACAAAGCGTATGAAACATGATATAAAAATGAATTGAAATGTTTAACTATCTAAAAGTATAATAGGTTTAATATAATGTTTCTAAAATTGTAAAAAAATGAAGAAAAGTTTATTAAAGTTTTATCATAGCTCATTAAATTCACAAATTTAATTTTAGACAAAGACAGTTAATTAACAAATTATGATTACGATATATTAACATTGTCAGGTAGTAAAAGACAGGCCATTCTTGGCTAATATATAAGTTGATAAATTGCACGATTTTATATTAAGTATATGTGGATATATTCACTTGATAATATTCATATATGGGTGAAAACCAGAACGGTATAAGTGACATTTTATCAAACGGGCTATGGACCGCGCGTTATCTTTTCTTCCTCTTCCTTTTCCTACCCTCACCACTTACACACAGACTAACAATCACATGCTCATCACCACCACACATGCCCGAAGACCGGTTGGGAGCATAGAGATGTTCCCTCTGGGACAGTAGCCTGCTGAGGAAGATAGCTGGAGGGCGAAATCCCTCGTAAGCAGACTCGTAGGTCGGCGCCGAGTCTCACCATCCAGTCGGAGAGGAATTACCGCCACCGCCCGGGATAAAACATTCATTGCACAAATGAAACTAATGACGATAGCAGTTCTTTGCCCGGAAACATCAATCAATGAGGGTAATGTTGACGTGTTCCTCCCTTCGTGTGCAGGTGTATTCTGACACGCAGTTCGTCCTGGGCGCGCTGCGAGCAGCGTGGGAGTTAGCGCGCCACGGATCACCCGTCCACGTGTACGAATTCGCTTACAAAGGGCGCGTCAACTGCTACAGCTTGCTCCTCAATTGCAAAGAAGAACATGTGTGTCACGGCGACGAACTGAGCTACTTGTTCAACATGCCGGGTGTCCCTCGACCTGAACAAGGTAGTAAAGACGAGATCACCAGACAACGTCTTGTTCGCTTGTGGGCTAACTTTGCGAAGAATGGGTGAGTACCACTGCAAGCCATTTAAAAAAAATTGAGTGATACAATCCTTGGCAATGTTAAAAAGTTCAGATTTGGGGCAATATCCACGACGTATGAAAATCTGTGAAACTAAATACGTGTTTTTTCGATATCTTTCAATTCAGGAGATACAAAATTAACCATAAATCTGCTGTTGTGAATTCTAAGTTTTCGAGTTATAGCATTGTCACTTATTTCCATGTACATTTAATGCCAGTTTGTCATGGTTGTTGAAATGAATGAGTAAAACAATACGCTGTGAACATATTGTGAGGTGGTGAACTAAAAATAAATGGTCACTATTTTTTTCAAATACTTATTCTTCAAGTTCAACAAAAATATTTACAGACGTTTTAAAATACAATTTTCATATTACAATATTACTTTCTCGATCCGGTGGCCGAGAGCGCTAAGGCAGTAGTGCCGAAGCGATCTCGGACCGAAGGATCGCGGTTTCGAGTCCCGCCCCGGGCATGGTTGTATTTTGTTCGCCTTTCACCCCCTATCATCATCATCGTGTCATTCTCACAGTTACCATACCGTTATAAACAATAGTAGTCGCTAATTACCTAGAAGTTAATGCGAGCTTAAATAAAAAAAATACTACTTTGGGACAGTACCCACAGTCTCCTTAGTAACTTTACCCCTTCCAAAGGTGATAATATAATAAACTAGCTGAAGTATCCCGCGTTGCTATGGCATTTATTACAGTAAATTATTAGCGAGGAAGAGTAATTTCATTTATTCAAGCCCTTCGGCGAGCCTACTACTATCCCTTTGTGTCCCAGCTACGCCCTGACCCGCGCAGCAATCTTGTCTTGTCCCCTTTTGGAAATTTCCGGTCTACCAAGCTCACCTTCCCACTTACAAAAGTTTACATTTTTTCTTATTGGGAGTTTCACCTCCTAAACATTCCTCTCTTCATAACTAAAAATAATAAACAAATATACACTACAAAATAAAATACTTGTAGTGTCACGTATATTATTTTTGTGGAGTTTCATATATTATATCAATACTATCAATAAATTGCGACATTGTAAAAGAAACTCTTTTTTAATTTTTTTATTCTGTCGTATTCATAAAGAAAGGTTTAAAATGTACCTCCTGGCAACTTGTGACCTTGAGAGAGCTTATTGTTTTAAGCAAAGTATAACATGCAAGAATTATCGCGCGGGTAACTAATAGATAGATCCGGAGTAATAAATATACTAGATGTCATAGCGTAATTGACGAATCACAATTATGAAAGTAAAGGAAAATATCAATGCTAAAACGTAATTGCTAATACGTTTTTATAATTATTTTGAAGGCGACAGAAATATATATGGGTGAAGTCATATATGCTAGTAACATGTAATATAAAACTTATTTGTTTAGGTAATCAATTCATCATAACATTGCAACATAAGAACAAAACTGATTCACCATGTTCATTATGTGTATATAATAAATTGACAATATATTGAACCACTTAACAAAACAATATTAGCTTCATCGGGCCTATTTGATCTCACCTTCTAGATACTATGGATCTGGAAATGTGAATAATAGAAACAAAGAACTCCCAATTTGTATTTGCTTAGACACAAATATTTTCGGATTAATTTTTACCTATTTTTTATTTAAAAAATGGATGAATTCGTTTATTAGAAGCAATTGATATGCAAAACAACAGCATAGATTTGTCTTAATATGTGAACGATCATTGCTTAGTTACATACCACTGCACTAATCCCCGTCCCATATTGATGTAAAAATTTCAAGAGGATTGACCCAAAACATACAAACGTTTTCCATTTTAACAATTTAAACGTAAGAGCTGTGTAAATAAGCAAACAGAGTCGTAATGAAAACTGCCCTACTACTTCGAGAATTATTCAAATTTGTTTCCTTCCTTGCAATATTATTTTCAATGGTGTAAGTGTGCTCGTCAGCAAGTCGTTTGAGTTGCTCTGAGTAGCAATCTTTAGCAAGTCGCTCTGAGTAACCAATTCCGAATTTTTTTTAAACTGCCCATTTCTTAGCACTTGTAGTTTGTTTCCGAATTTTTTTAAACTGCCCATTTCCTAGCACTTGTAGTTTGTTTTGATGACTGTGACTTTTGTTTCGGCGTTCTTTAAAACAATTAAGTATTCACAAATATCTGTAAAAGCTGTTCTTTTACAGAAATTTGTTTAGAAAGTATTCGAGGTCTATATTTTATATTATATATAGTAAATTGTACACTACTGCATATTCTGTACTGTATATTATTGTACTTTTACTCTCTCAACCTACCTCAATTTTTAAACACTTTCAAACTCACAATGTTTTCTTGCCACTGTTTGTATACAACACAGCAATATAAGGCATACAAGGCATACAGCATGCAAGAAAAGGAATATACATTGACATTCTTTACTACTTTGGTTACAGCTTTCTTTCAAATTTTCCCCCAACATTCAGAACTAACAAATCATAAGCATTCACATCCGGATATTACATAGCTTTGTTCAAACTTCAAAGAATTTTGTAATAATTCTAGACATTGATGAAATAAATAGATCGCGTCATCCTCTGGTGGCGCGCAGCTAAACTTATTGACATTGATGCACTCTTGAATCTATGATGTAAAGCTAAGCAAAAAATGTACTGAAAAATAATTAGTATATGTATTAAGGTTTAGGGTTCTAATTCATAGCCTATTGTATATATATATATATTCATAGCCAAACTTTTAAAGGAAGCTAGCACAAAAGTTTAATTGGTATTGGTTCAGTAGATTCAGAGATTATCGCACTGTGAGTCGACGCTCTTGTCTTTATATATATTTTATCTTTATATATTAGTTTAGATTACTGAAAAAGCGTATTTGCACAGGTATGGTCTCTGAGAATGCCTGGTCTCTGGGAATACATATAAAGAAACAAGTAGTACGATTTCAGATGTTTCAATGTTTCGTATTAACAACTTAATAGTAAATGAAGAAAAGTGTTTCAATGCAGTTTTGCATTTCAAACAGACAATTTAATGCGCTATTCAAAATGAACAATGTAAAATTGGCTGATGTTAAAGTAACAAGATTTCTGGGTCTCTCAGCCCAACAAAATCTAAATTGGAATACCTGTGTAAATTAATTGAACACTAAATTAATGATACGCATTCAGAATTCTTTCAAATTCAGTAAGTGATCGTGCACCTCGTAGCGTGTATTTGGCAAACGTGCACACCCGCCTGCGATGCGGCATTATATTCTGGAAAATATCCTATAATGCCCAGACTTTTAGGATGCAAAGAAACTTGGGCGAATAATAAGAAAACATCATCCCTGTGCAAGTGTCTCTACATCGAACTTGCTATGCTACCATTTCCTTGCCTAATTATTTACGTTTTCGTCAAAACTGACTTACTTGCGTGGGAATATTTTCTTGTAATGGAGATATTTATATTTACAACAACAGTCCGTCGTGGTACCTTCGAAATCTTCATAACCCTCTCTGGTTAAAATTTGAACTATTGTAATCTCAAATAAAGATTAAAATAATTCTTGCTCCTGACATCATTGTTGGAATTCGTTGTTTCAGAAACCCGACATCATCACTTGATGATTTAATCAAAGTTAGTTGGCCGCGATACTCAGAATCTGCACCCAACTACCTGAAGATCGGCGAAGAACTCGAAGCGAACACCGATCTTTTGAAGGAACGCATGCTGTTCTGGAGAAGCTTGTATGGCAAATAATGGTTTATTATTATTATTATTATTATTATTATTATTATTATTATTATTATTATTATTATTATTATCATTATCACCTTAAACATAAGGTAGTGTTTAATTTTTATCATGACAAGTTACTATATACCCTTTCAAATGTTAAAAAACTTAATGCAATAAAGATTAAGTATATATTTGCTTGTGGAGTTACAAATGTATTTCTTCAACATTAATATATCCATATGTAACAACTGGACAGAAACATCACCAATTTTCTTTTCTGACATCGGACATCACTATAGTCACCCCTTATAGTTAGATAACAATTGCAATTCACTGAGCGATTCTCTGAGCAAATCGACTATTTCACTCATGTCAACCTTGTGTCATACGTAACCAATGCTAAACAAGAATATATTCAAATTAAACCAATCCTAGATGTCTCTCGCCACACGATTATCAACTTTGCCCTCCGCTGAAATCACTTTGTTTACATTTGAATGTTATCGATAGCAACTGTTTTATGTCCATAAAAGCTTGTGAGCATCAATATAAAATTGACAATTTTTTAAATCGTAATATCGTTTTGGCAAAGTTTCAAATTCTTAAATCATTAATAAAACACTTAAATAATTAAAATATTTTAAAACATTCAGTGACAAAACAGCAAAAGAAACAAAGAAAGAGTTTAGAGACAATTTTAAGAATTTTGGAATAAAGAAAAAAAGAAATTGACATTCCAAACTACAAATGAAGAAATTTCACACATTTTGATAGTTTGCCAATTAATATGCGAAAATTAGATAGTGAAGAGTTCAAATAATATATCAAAATGATGTTGAACGTTAGAGCCCAAATTAGACAGAAAAATTTCATTGGAACTTGTCTCATCCTTTTATTCTAAAACTGTAATTAGTGCGCCCTCTAAGAGTAACGCTCAGTTCAGAGGTTGAAGTTAGGATCTAATACGGACCTATTTTCACGTTGAAAATAATGATTTTAAGAAGTACAGAATACACATACGGGTCCAGCTCCTAGCCTCTATACATAACCTGAAGCTCTCGTTACGAAAAAAGACATCCACATTCTAGGTAGAATTTTATTATTCTTCAATATAATATTATCGAAAAAAATGGGTTTAAATCTTCTTTCCGGCCGCGAATTTCTAACCAACGCAGCGTCTGCCAATGTGGCAGACAATTGTGCCCTTTCTCTGCGTTTTCAATGAATGTGTCGGGTAAGGAAAACATTGCTTACCGCAACAAAGAACACTATACTTCTATCAAGTTAGTTTTATCAGTATTCATTCAATCTATTAGACCTATTTAAAATGCATTTTACTTCCTTGCACGTCGTAAGAAAAGTGTAATTGTGCGTCAGAAAACGGCGAAATTTTCACAGAAAATCTCTTCTTACCGGGCCTTGGTAAGGAAAAGCTGGATAAATCCAGTTGCTAAATATAGAAAAAATCCTCTAACACGTGTTGTAGCTAGAATCCATGTTTTGTGGGTCCTTGATACCGAAAAATCGATTGACGGCAAAACCAACTCCATGTGTCCGTCCGACCATGTGTCCGTCCGTCCATGTGTCCGTCCGTCCATGTGTCCGTCCGTCCATGTGTCCGTCAGTTCATGTGTACGTCCGTCCATGTGGCGGTCCACACATCTGCCCGTCCGTCTGTCCTTACGCCACTCCGGTAGTCTGTCAGTTTGTAAGTCCGTCACTCCGTCAGTCCGTCAAACGTCTATACTAAACGCTAGCGCACCGCCAGCTAAACCGTTCAGCCGATTTTCACCAAAATTGATATTCCAAATTGAAATGGCTCCAATTTTTTTATTAAACTTTGTAGTTGGATAGTGCAAAGAACGTTTAAGACAATGGTTAAGGTCTCATTTTAGTTGACATCTCCGATTTTTCGTAAAATGGAAAAAAAATTAACTTCAAAATTAGAGATTGATATTTTTGTCCCAGACAGTTTATTGTATAACATTAGCTATTCAAAAACGATGGTGTACAATTTTTTGAAAAAACGAGTAGTTTTGGGGTATTTTGAAATTGAAATTTACAACAAAAAATCTCAAAAACAACTTTAAATTTTTCTGTAAATTTTCTTCACTTGCATAATAAGAAACGCTAAAAAAATGGTGCTAGTAGTATTTTCGGTTATTGCTCTCTTTTTAATACCAAAAAAGCATTTTAAAACTACAACTAGTGGTGCGACAGAATGGCAAAGACTTTTTTCCAAATTGAAGACATCCCTGTTTATTTGGCTTGAGTCGAAGCTTAGCGATTTTGAAAATCATTCATTAGTTTTTCGAGATATTTAGTACATGAAGCCCTTTTCAACTTTTACAAAAATGGCTCCATATTTTTAATTTAAATTTCTTCTAAGAATATAGTAAATTACACTTATAAAGGCGGCATAGGGCCGACATTCACGGTTAACTCTTAATTTTCGAAAATTGCAAAAGTATGGATTTTTTGCGGGGTCTTTCTACAACTACAAAATTAGAGATAGAGATTCTCCCTAGAAAGGAAATTTGTTGTCCATAATTTATTCTTTCATTAAGGTCATGTACATTTTTTTAAAAAAAAATAGTAGTTTTCGCGCAATATTGCGTGCAACTTCAGCAATTAAAAAAAAAAATACAAAAACAAGATTTTCTCAAAAACTGCTCCATTTTTTTAAACTTTTTGTAAGGGCAGTGCTAAATGAGCTCTATAAGATGACATAAATACCATATTGCACTATTCTTTTGTTTTTTCAAAAATTACAAATATGTAATTTTTGACTTGTCTCTCACGTTGTTAATAATTGTTTGCGGCGATTTTTTTCACATTATATTTATGAGTATATGTGCTATATATAATGTGAAATAAAGTTTCTCAAAAACTCAACTGTTTTCTGTGAAAACTAGTTGAAAATTCCGCATTTTCAAAAAAAGCTCAAATACCATTTTCTGGAAAACGGCTTCAAGAGCAAACAGAATTGGCATCTACGAAGACAAAATTTCTAAATTTTTTGATTTTGAAAATTCAGGCGTTCAATATAACACCTCGCCATTTTAGCGTTATTTGTTCTATCCGAAGAAATAGTTTAATAAAAAGTCAGGGCACTTTTTGAGAAAAAGGTGATGGGTCTTGAAGTAAGGTACTTCCAACGATCAAAGTATCCGCTTCAAACTCTCAGAGCTACAACTTCGGCCAAATCGATTGTAGATTATCAATTTTGGTGAAAAGCAAGTGAACGGTTCATGTCAAGCTTAACCACAGACGGACAGACGTTTAAAAAAAATTAATAATTTTTTTCTGTATTCGGCACCCCAGAAGTGTTTTCAAAAGTATGGACCAGTGTTAACGAAAGAGCTTTCTCTGCGGGACGATATGTCTCCAATTTAATTGTTGGAATATAAAATTATAATGGATCAGATATTTCTCGTCTTATCTAAAATAAAATATTACAAAAACCTACCACTCTACAATAGCCAATTTCTTCGACGATGTATTAAGTAAATTAATTTTAAATTCAATGAAAAAATCAATGTATTGAAATAACAATAATATAATTCAAAGTACAATAAAAACCATTGCATTTAAGGTCTATTCATTTAATTTCAATGAATACAGCCTAATTCCCATTAAGCTGTATTCATTGAAATTTAAATTAGAGTAAAACAATTTTCTTGTGAAATTCTTGAGGGTTACCAAGTCTAAAGGTAAGTGCACTCTTAGTCGTGATATTGAGGACATCGCGCTCTTCACCGTCAGCTCAAGTGTAAACTACCTGAAACGATTCGCAAAATAACGTCAGTTACAGTGAATTTAACTCAGAGCAGTGACTAAGTGAAGTTTTATCTCAATAAATAGTAGCAACTATAAACAATTAACAACGTAGGAATATCATCCAGCAGTGACGTAGGCTACACCATCGCCGGCGCTATGAAATTAGCCTACGACAGGCAGGTCAAACCGCACCCGTACGGGTTACTTGCCCCCCTGGGGAGCCCAGCTCCACCATTGGCACGGGAAACTTCCCCTGACTCGGTACTCAATTCCCTTCGAAATCCAGAAAGGGGTGTACATGCGCAAGCTGAATCGGCGCGAGGCGGTGAGTAGTGGCTTCGTATGAAAATGTGTTTACCAGATTTTTTCCTATCAAATAACCTAGAACTGTATTATGTTTACATTCTTCACTACTCATTACAATTTGAATTTGTCTTATTTAATTCTTCCTTGTATAAACATCTTTGCTAAGCGACAGGAATATGTTTGAATGGCAAATTCTTCCCTTTATTCTTTTTGTATTGTGTTATTAAATCATTTATCAATTTATTGTATTTAGCAATAATGTGAAATAAATTAACAAGTATCTATAAGTTAACAATTCTCGCTTATGGACGGACAGCACTTTTAAAAGCAAGAATATTTGTCTGTTAAGCCTCGTAACCTGAACGTAGAGAGTTCATGCTTTTATAACACTCTTAAGAAAACAGGATTACAAAATCAAGATTCATTTGATTCAAATTCTTTAAAATATACTATCAATTGAGAATTTGAAATCTCACTAACACATTATTCCATTTTAATGGATCATTTCTTTGCCTTAAGGTGAGAGGGAACCATGCATATCGCCCATGTTAAATATCCTATTATTGATGTACCTTAGCTACAAAATGGTTAGCAAGAAAATTAAAAAATGATATTTCACACATGTAGAGATAAGAACTTTGGTATTATTTTGACATTTTTTTGAGTTGATTGAAAAAAATAGTATTTTTTTTCACTTATATCTTTTGCCCTAATTTTTTCAGCATTTTTGGAAAAAACTATTTTGTTAAATTTTGTATTACTGACAAATATATATATACAAAAATATCTATTTATTGGCAATACTATAAAGAACGCACACTGTAAGTTTCAATAAATTATGAATAATAGTTTCTGAGAAAAGATACATTAATAACAAAATAAGAACATTTTCGGGAAACGCCATTTGAATTAAGTCTGTTCTTAGCCCTGCCCCACTAGAATATTGCTGCTCCGTATTCTGGATAATTTTCTTCAGCGGAAAAGTTCATTGCTACCAACGTATGAACAAGAGCGTGATTCAGTAACTCATTAACAACACAACATAGTCTAAAATTGCGAAAATATATCCATACATGTACACAGAGTCAAAAAAGGGGGGCTCATACACACTAGGACATTTAAATAAGAATTAAAGGAACGTCCAGGCGTCCTAGAAGAAGATGTTGATATATTGGGAAAGAGCAATGTTTAAACTACTTATTTAGTCGAAAACGAAAATCAAAAATTCACCCATTTCATGGTAACCTCTCCCCTCGAAGACAAAACGGGAATAAATGTAGCTAAATTTGTGACAATAACTGTGAAATAACTCGTCTCAAAGACTGTCATGGATCAAGTATCCGGTGACGTACCGCCACTCCTGGAGACTTTAAACAACCCTCAATATTTGTTACTCTCGCGCCACTTTCTCTAGACGCACGGCCCGCCGCCTCTAGTAAGCTTATTACTTTGCCTGCGACCTTATCGTGCCTGGTCTACAACGCCATGGACATTCTCATTCAGCATCAGACCAAAACGAAGATCGTCACTACTCTGACCCGCGGTGGTGAGTACGAGAACATCGCGCTCTTCATTACCAGCTCAGGTGTACGCCGACAAGCCAGAATGCCCAGTTCTACAGTGACCAACTCGAACAAGACGCGGGTCAGTAACCCCTGCGTAGCAAATGGCGCAGCTCAGGCACAACCAGACTTGCAGAACGTCTCCTTCAGCAAACCATGACCCCGGCGTAAATAAAAATAGCGGATAAAGGAGTCACAATGAATTAGATTCGCACTCAAGCTCCCAATCAAATAAAAAATCCACTAGCGGTAAATCAAATCCATATTTACAACCAATGAGAAACAGATTTGTCCTCCCCGAAAAAAATGATCAAAAACTAAAACGATTCAGATACAATGACGTAAATGAAAGTGCTTCACAAAATGATAAAAACATAAGAATTCCAACCATCTATATACTCAACGTGTCAAACATATCCGAGTTCAACAGAGATATTAAAATCAAAATAACAAGGTAATTCACAATAGACTATCACAATAACTTAGTAAAACCAATGTTTCAAGAAATAGTAGACTTTAGAAGCGCCATTAAGTATTTAATAAACAAAAAAGTACCGTTTCACACCTATAAAGACACAGCAAACAAAACGTTTCAAAAATCTTCACTCTTTTATAACTTTGCAAAGAATATATGAAAACTTCAAAATAAGTGCAGATCTCTAATCAGCATAACTAGGCTCTACGAGAACAATATTCCAATACGCGTTGTAACAGCACAATTTGATGGCGAACAAACTGTAGACTTAATACTCCAAACTGCAGATTTGTAACGTGAGTGTAAAACAGGAAAAAAGGAAAAAGCCCAATAGTCCAATTCATTGTTTACGGTGCTTAGGCTTTGGACATACTAAAAACAATTATTGAAACAATTCAATAGCCTGTTTTGAATGCTCCGTAGATCACTACTCTTCATACTCACGTTTTCTGTGTACACAATGAGAAATATTTGTAATATTCGTAAATTTATGTAAATCAACCAAAACCCTGTTGAAACACATCAAGACTAGTTGATTGTACCTTTTCCCTAGAGTTGCGCGATTCATAAAATTGTATCCAGTACTTCGATCACATTTCTTATCCTTGAAAAATCTCCCAACAATTTTGAAGAAGTTATTATTGAATTAAGTCAGTTATTCATGTTGTTTACTCGATCTTTGATGTTAGTTATTTAAGAAAAGATACTGATTATAGAAAAAGTAAACAGTTCCATCATGGAAACGAAGCTGCAAAGCGAAGAAACTGTGGCCATTTTAGACGGCTTATAAATACATTTGTACCCATGTCTAATTTTCATGAACGAAATTCAAAGTGTGTACAATATCTATCAACTCGTTCAAGTGGATTAATATCACTCTGAAACAAAATGGAAAAGAAGTTCCAAAGACTATTAAATAATGTCATTACCAAAGCTCGGATTCTGATGACTAGAGACCGGATTTTTATATAATTACATATTTCCGTTCTCAAAACTCTAATCTGCGAATCGTCGCCATCTAAACACAATATCCTATTTTGTCGTTACATATTTTTACATATTTAGTACTATATTACATATTTTACATACTTTGCTATTTTCACAAAAAAATTTTTTCAAGTTTTTTCTAAGTTGAACATATATTTTACGAAAAGAAGTATTTTTAAAAAAAAACAGAATTATTGCCTACATCATTACTGAGTGCTGTTAAATCGAAATATTCTACGTAGAAACGCTCTCGGATGTTCTTACAGTCACGCGCGCCTTCTTCAGTTATCTCAGAGGCGGGAAGTGCGCGTCAGTGACTGATATCATTTTCCACCTTCACATGTGAAGATATCACTTGTTTCGTGAAACAGACGCCGAGTTTTGTGAAATTTGATATTAATTTTGGAGGAACTTAGGCGATCGCCGATGTGTAACATGTCGGTGCCAACGCTGCTCGCTGTTGTGATTGCGGGTCGTTGATATCGCCCGTTTGTACGAGAGCTTCTAGCGCGTCTATTCAACTACTGTCCTCAATAGCAACAGATGTAGCTTTTATTACTGACGGGAAAATTGTATGGTGCAAAATTTGCATCAAATTGATCTCTCCAGATGATTTTTAAAACGTCTGAATTCGTTTTAAAATTTATTTATGACATTTTTGATAAATGGTTTATGGTAAATGTCATCATTACATATTTATGTACATATTTTGACGTTTCTTACTACATATTTTTCCGGTCTCTACTGATGACACGTAAAATTTTTATTGGTGCATTCTAGGCGTAGCTATCTTGTAAATGTATGTTCATCATTGCATATAGGTGATAGAAAGGAATAGTTATTGGGTTATTTTTTGTCATTTTTGTCATTTTCCAATTTTAAGGAACTTTTTTTGAACCTTTACGTCATTTTTTTTATTTTACGCCTTTTTTCCTTCTCGTATTTTTGTAAGTGGATGTTTCATTAGTTTTCATTTGTCTTCATTTACAATGACACACTAAAACAAGGTTTCCATTGTATCAACAGATCATGACGAAATTCACTACTTTAGTGGGCTCTGTATTTCGACTTTCAAATTAGAGACCTTCGGTAACTTCCTCGACCTAACAAAACTGACGGTTGGAAGATCGGTAGTAAAGATTACATTTCCTCCTAAAATAATGATTTTCATTACGTATAATTTCATATAATTAAATTTTATTGAATACTGAACTGAGTTTCACAAATTGTAAAAATTGAATAAATAAACATTATACACATTTTTGAGTATATTTTAAAAATTTAGATAATTTTCTTCTTGTATTTAGTCATGTTTTAGGTCAGTTTCAAAGAAATGTTGGGTCATCAGAATCCGAGCCCTGGGCATGAGTAAACATGTTATTGATTATGTTAAAATTTTCGATCAATTTATACATTTTCAGACATGTGTCTCTGAACAAAAATAGGACTCTCAATTTATGAATATTATGATGAGAAAAACAGCCCTTCCCAATGCTCCGCATATCTGAAACATTTTATGCACGACACATTTGGCCGTACAATCTCAAGCTTGTTATTCGTCAGAAAGATCAAAATGCTAACATTTATAGACAATGAACTTAGATCTAATAAAGTGGTATCTAAACAGTACAGAATCTTTGAAGAAAAAGATATTGAAGAGAATAGTCCTACACTTCCTCATTCTCTGTAACTATTCGCAGACTCTGTCAACAACCAGAACACAAAAACTCTATAATGTTGGGATATCTCTTGAGCAAGATGAAAATAATGGCAGTCGTTTTTCGAATCAAGTAGAACACTTCTTTCCGATCAGGGGCTAGCAGTTTTATGCCTCCGGACCGAGTGTTTGGGATAACTGAGAAAGAGTACAAGTCACGACAGCAGATATTACACCATGAGAACTACCATTCTATTCTAGATAAGCACTGAACAGTTAAAGTACTTGGCACACAATGGATGCTTCTAACCTTCAAAGATTGCTCTGTCAAAGCTCAAACGAAAGCTGCAATTCCTGATGCGGGAGAAAGCTTATTTATAAAACAGATAACCGCAGTGTTGACGCCAAAAATACATATACTGAAGATCCAACTACTTACACCGTTCTGAAGAAAACATCAGGCCCTTCCCGGAGACTCTACTACAGGCACTGTTGCTGTGTCATCGAGAAAGGTTTATTAACGAGTTAAAAAAGGACGAGTAGAAAGTATTCAAATAAGTGCAACTCACTCCCAGGGCCAAAGATTTTTATGACAAAGCTCCAAGTCAGTTCGCATCTGAAGCTACGGACACTGAAGTTGTTCAGTAGGCGAAGAAGAGCCCCTTTTGTAAAATAATATCAATCTTAAGTTGCAATTCTATACTACTTATGTTAGAATAAATTTAACAGTTGTCTGTCCGTCTATTACTCTACTTTTGAAATAGTTTTGTTTCAACAATTCATTAGTTGATCCATCAACAATTTGTTGATTTATTTATTTATTTGACGACAAAAGTAGTGAAAAACTGTAACGTGCTGTGGGGAGAAGAGCAATATATGCACAGTTTCTTGAACTCAGAGATGTCTGCCCTAACTCATAAGCCTATTACGTTGAATTATGAACACAGATAGCAATGAGCGCATTTGCCAAGAATTAATATGAAAATACTTACTCCCGTATAAAACTATTTGCAAAGGCAATTCAGCTACAAATTTAGGCTATTCTTCTTATAATAGGTTTAAGACGTCTGGTGAATTATGTCCTGACAGAACAATTCACGTACGCTTTATGCATTCTTTATTAAATATCATACTTTTAATTTATGATTAAATCTCATTTGCCGCATCACCAATACTCTTATCGCTATTTGATGGGTTTGTGACCTTGAATGAAGATGACGCAAGGGGTTGAGAGAGGGGAGGAGAAACCTTGCTCGCTGTGAACTTTGAGGAAAGCGTTCAGTCTTCTGCAGCTCCTCAACAAGTGCTAACATGGCCGAGGAGTTCGTGACCGTGTCTGTGCGTAGCGGAGCCCTTAAGGGCCGCCGTCGGCGCACGGAAGGCGGCCAGCCCTTCCACAGCTTCGAGGGGGTGCCCTACGCCAAGCCACCTATCGGACCCCTGCGCTTTAAGGTATTGTGTTTGATTTTTCCATCTTTTTTCTTTTGGCGATGGCATACCGCTAAGATCTTTCCGTGCAGATGCGTTCTTAAACAGCTGCTCAGTACCAAATGCGGGCGGGGGGG